TTTTTCCCTTTTTAAAAATGGAGGTTATGTTTCTCCTTTTCCAGTCAGTGGGAACTTCACCAGACTGCCATGACTTCTCAAATACGATGGATAGCGGCTTAGCAACTTCATCTGCCAGTTTCCTCAGGATCTCATTGGGTCCCGTGGACTTGTGCACCTTCAGGTGCCTTAGTCTGGAACCTGATCTTCTCCCACAGTGGGCGGCTCTTCATTCTCCCAGTCCCCACCTTTGCCTTCTGCAGTTTGGGCAGGCTCGCTCGAGCACTTGCCGGTGAAGACCGAGGCAAAAAAGTCATTGAGTACCTTTTAGCAGTTGTGTTTTTTTTTTTTTTTTTTACCTTTTGGGGTTGACAGAAATCGGGGTTTAATAGAAGGATTTAATTTAGCAGTTGTGGTTTTTTTTTTTCTTTTACCTATTGTAGTTGATAGAGATCTGGATTTCATACTGATAGAAAATGAAGAATCAGTTGGACTAAGTTTAGCCTATGTGTAGAGACTTCTTGAACACAAGGTGTAAGATGTAATTTTTTGTGTGAAACTAATCTGTCGCTTAGTCTTGCAGCAAGTGGCCTAACTCATACTGTATCTCACTCACAGATAACTAAAGAGTTGCATGGATAATCATCCCTAGTACTGCCTCCAGTTTCGTCTACCTCTAGTTTCAGCTTTTTATCTTGCCAAAGGCTGTCATAATTCTCATGAGTAAAACTCAGTAAAGTGTTGAATTTGTGTATATCTGAGAAATGGCAGAGCTGCATTCTGTACCATCTCACCATGGCATCTGTTGTATCAACTCCATGGTTTTGCTTATGCAGAAAATATATTAAGGTGCTGCTGTGTGGCTTTACAAAGAGAAGTTTGGTGGGCTTTTGAATGGCCCCATAATAATAAGCCATCGTAACTACAAAAGATCATGTCTTGGCTGCTACAAATAGCCTGTAATGTACTGTCACCACTTGCTTACTGGATACAAGTCACAGCAGCCCTTCTATCCTGTTCTGCATAAAACCTGGTTGTTTCTCTTTGCTTTTCAATAGCATGTAGGTGCTAGCCTTTTGGGTTGGGTTTTCAAGTTTGCAAGAAGGGCTGCCTACTGCTGATTGATGCCTTTAAATTTGATGGGCAGCTAAAAGAGAGGAAAGTTGTATTATCTTAGCAGCACTGTGTAGCTAGTATAGTGGATTGTGATCATAGAGATGATTGGGTGTAATAGGTGGTGAAAGTTTGTGTAGATTCTGAGAGAGTCTGAATAACTTAAAGGAAAAATCCACTGAAGGTGTCTATAAAACAAGTTGCTTCCATAGCTGAAGGACTTAGTCATTTTTCAACACTGTCTTAATATGTTTGCTGTCTTTACACTTAGATGTTGTACAACAGCAGCAGGCAGCTAGACAAGAGACGGGCTACTGGGCTACATGAACTTTAGCTTTAACCTAGTATAGCTGCTCTTTTATGTGTGTAGTAAAACAAAAGATACTTTTGCTCTTAGGAGGTTGCAATTTAATTTTACCCTTTCTGTCTATTTTTTAGTTTAAAATGAACAATTCACTTGTTTCAGGAGCTGGATCCAGCTGTAGACATAGCAAAACTTATACAAGGATTATTTCAGTCCAGTTTAAAAAAAAAAGGTTTTCTTGCCAATGATAAACTTGGACTAAACTTCGTTAGTTAGAGCACAGTAATGGCATTTTAATCTTCCCTGTGCACTAGGTGGGAATAACTTTGGCATACTGTTCCTAGTACTCTGATGTGGGGTTTAGGGCTGTCTGAGATAAGCTTTATGTTAATATCAACTGCATTTCCTTCGATGGCTACTTCAGCGGTAGACTTTGTACCAACTATAGCTTGATGCACACTGAAAAATAAATGACGGTGTAACTTAAGAATATCTACCTGGAATAATAACATTTTTACTGGGGAAAGGGGAACCCTTAAGAATAGAGCTGTTGCTGTAAGGAAATGAAGTTTGAAGTACAGCAATTGCCTTTGATTATAACTATGTCTTTAGTTTGGAGCCTTTTACTGTGTAAGGATGAATTTTCATTACAGGCAGTGAAAATTAAACTTCGTATTTTTTAAAATACTAACTTTATTGGTAATACAAAATCATATTAGGGAAGCTTATATTACTCTGGAGAACTTTGGCCTGAGCCAGTCATTCCTAGCAAGCCAGCCTTCTGAGAATGAAAAGCAAAAGCCAGAGTTTCCTTTTTATAGGGTTGATGCCATTTTTTTTTACTATAAAAGGAGAAGTGTTCTGCACAGGAGAAAGGAAAATATTGGATGGGATATTATAGTGGTGTTCTGGGAACACGTTCTGATAATGTAGCACTCAGACTCGCATTGAATCTGTGTTTGAATTGGGGCTTTGTGGGATTTTTGTTTTTCCTTAATTTTACAGTTTATTATTAAGTTTTCTGTAACTAGCAGTGTTCTCCATATATCTGACAAAAACCCCTCTAATCTTAAATGAGCACCTCTTTAAATACCAGCTACTAAAACAAGTTGTCTTTCCTTAAAAAAAAATTTGCAGTATAAGTGGCTGTCGTCTCCATCTTCTAAGGATGCTTTGAAAACTAGACCAAAGAAAAGAACTATTGTCCTAGGAAGTGGTCGAAAAGGAAAAGCTACTATTCGTATTGGTAATACTGTCTTTATTTTCTCTGACTATAGTAAATTTTGTCTACAAAATAAACGTTTAATGTTCAATAGCTTTAATTATAAAATATATAATGTGTCTAAATGTCAGTGTTTTGCAAAATACTTGTCTTCAAAAAAAATTCCATTTATTCTTAATTCAATAATGCGTCTTCTACCATCAGTGGTTTCTGTAGGAAACTTGCCCTTGTTTTTAGTGCTGCTAGATATGTGGCTGGAAAAATGGTAGGATATGCTGACTTAATTATGTGGAAGCATTGCATGTATTTATTGTCAGCGCATCCTCTCCACAAGCTTTCACTTCTAGGAAGCTTGGCGGTAGTAAGTTGCCTAGTTCCTCTGATGTTGTACCTTTCTGTAGCAGACTGTCCTCTGTCAGAACAAACAAGCATGTAATTTTTACTGATGTACAAAATAGTCTAAGATTTTTTTTTTTAAACTTCATGTAAACCTGTTATAAATAGTATGTTTAAAATAACATAGGTATATCTTGAGTATTTATAATTAAGTACTGATATCTGCGATACACTAAATATTTTTCAATAAGTTATTAAAATTTTCACTGTAATACATTTGGCTGTCTTTCATCTTTGCTCTAGTTATCTGGAAGCAGAGAGGTAAGCATAAATCAAATTGAAGTCTTTGTACAAATAAACTGTGGTGATCAGGGTGATGGAAGAAGACAACGCCTGACTTAAATATAGTTGTGATTTTTGGTTGTTAGGTTTTTTGTTTGTTTGTTTGTTTGTTTGTTTTTTAAAGAGGAAGGGAGTCAGGAGGTGAAAACTACTCTATCCTATTTACTTGTTGAGAACGAACTGAAATTTGGAATCCCATTACCACAGTTACACATTTCTATACCATTACAAAATTAGTTGTTTTCTTGACCTGAGAGAAACAATAACCTGAGTTCTCACTAGTTTAACTGTATGAATATGAGGTGAACAGTTTTCTGGGCTTGTTAGTTTCTGACTTACACAGAACCTGGGGTAGAGTGATCATCCACACTAGGTATTTATTCTGAATCTACTTTGAGTGATAGTGTATGATTTAACAACAACAAAAGACTGGACTAGTGAACATGACTTTTCATTATTATTCCTGTTAAGTGAAGGTATTGCTGGTGTTCTGTAGAAGCGATCAACATGAGTACCAGCTTTAGCTTCAAGCATTTTGCCAGTTACAAAACCAACGTTCTTCACACTAAAGCCACTAGAGGGCAATTTGAAACACACAGATAGCCTTACTGTCTGTGTGGATTGTCTAAGCTCCCACTTGAGACAACAGTTAGGTATCTGAAATTAGTAATGTGAATAAACCTCTTTAGCTACCAAAGGAAACTTTGCTTCCTTTTTTGAATAGCAGTGTGTCTTACTTAGATCAACCTAACATAATAGTTAAGTATACCAGCTTATAATTGCAAGCAGATAAGCTGATGACCCCTCTTTTTGAGAAGCAAAACAAAAGTTTTTGAACACTTTAGCAAAATTAGACTGAAAGGTAGATTTCCTACAGTCCCTTTTATTACATAAGAGATTTTAACTATGAACTGTAAGCTGTGAATTTATATGTTACTTAGATCAACCTAACATAATAGTTAAGTATACCAGCTTATAATTGCAAGCAGATAAGCTGATGACCCCTCTTTTTGAGAAGCAAAACAAAAGTTTTTGAACACTTTAGCAAAATTAGACTGAAAGGTAGATTTCCTACAGTCCCTTTTATTACATAAGAGATTTTACTTATGAACTGTAAGCTGTGAATTTATATTTAAATAACTAGGTATAATGAATTATCTTTTCTCCTATTCTTGCTGTTCAATACAGGATTAACATCTAAAAAGTCTGTAAGTCCTGGAAAAAAAAATATGTCTGTGAAAGATAGTTACTCACCAAAACCACTACCACCGGGCACAAAAGGCTTTCTTCCTTGGCGGACTGCAGAACGTGCAAAGAGATGCAGGTGAGGTTTTCATAGTACAAGGGAAAATATTAAAGCATAAAACCTGTATGATAAATGTAGTAGAGAGCAGTGTAAGTTTTTTAGAATACATATTTGAAAGTTACGCACAGAATTTCATATTGCATCCATAACTTTTTCTGTTTATATAAATTTTGGGGATGTTACATAAATTCTATTCCAGAAAGTTTTTAAAATACACAAAAAGATATAATTTGATGGTCATAGGAATATCCAGGTGTAGCAAAAAAAACCCCTCACAACCAAACCCACCTTGCTTGTTTGTTCTCTTGCTACTAACGATTTATCAGATCTGTCCACAGCTGAAGATGCAATTCAGTTTTCTAAGCTTGTAGTATAGTTGATTTGGCATCCAGTTCAAGGTGCCTAGGTATTTTTTCCACCTCATCTTTCTGCTCTTATCTCCCCAATGCCAACATAATTATTGTGATCATCTAAGACCTGTGAAGTAAAATCTAATCTAAAAAAAGAAAAACATGGAAACCATATTATTATTATCATGCTTCTATCAGTACTTAAAGGGGGCTTATAAAAAAGATGGTGGCAAACTTTTTAGCAGGGCCTTTTTCGACAGGACAAGGGGGAATGGCTTTAAACTAAAGGGGGGTAGATTTAGACTAGATATGAGGAAGAAATTTTTTACACTGAGGGTGGTGAAGCACTGGAACAGGTTGCCCAGAGAGGTGGTGGATGCCCCATCCCTGGAGACATTCCAGGTCAGGTTGGACGGGGCTCTGAGCAACCTGATCTAGTTGAAGACGTCCCTGCCCAGGGCGGGGGGGGTTGGACTAGATGACCTTTAGAGGTCCCTTCCAACCCAAACCATTTTATGATTCTATGCTTCTTTTGAAACAGTTTTTGTTTTGTTCTTTTTAATGTATTCCCTAGACCTTGGCGTCTCAAAATGGAGGCTATATAAGTATTTAAACAAAAAATTACTTAATGCTCTATCATAACTATTTTTATTAAATTTGTTTTTCAAAATGCTGAACATCAAGTTCTCCTGTTAACTTTAGTTCATAATAATTAACTCAGCAAGATGCCTATTGAAGATATTAACGTTAGTATCCAGTAATGTTGCTCTAATTCATGATTAAGTAGGAGTACTAACAAAATAAAATGAGGATGTAATGAGTGTTAAAGGGATACTGTGCAGTGTCTGATGCTGTCTTTACTCTTACTGCTTCACCTGTCCTAGAGTCCTGTGTTTGGAAATGGAAGTAGCAATGGTGACACTATAAACTTACTTTTCTCAAAAGTGGTTTTTTTTTCTAACTTTAGAGGGGGGACAGTGGATAGTACTGAAGAATTACCAGTGAAGATTCAGGTACTCTCTCTCTCATATGATGGTTTCTTTAGTAGATGAATGCTTGAAAAAAGATGAAAGTGTTCTCAACAGAATCTTACTGTCTAAAAGTTAAGACTGGAACATACTTTTAAAGTTTCTCTCTCATGGAAGTGCAAAATAATAGTTTATGTCAGCATTTGGTTGAAACTTCTTTAATACTTCGTTTATTCCCATGTCTGTATCACTACCTTTTTGTTTCTTAGCCTTATGAGCAAGCTGGGTTTGAGTATGGGCACAATCCCTCCAGAGGCAATAAGGAGAATTAACAGCATTTTTCTCTGAAAGGTTCTGCTCCCCCCTTCCTCTCTTTCATCCTTTTGCTTTCGGACTACATACTTGTGTTTGAACCCATCTGTGAATTGCTGTAGTAAACATATCAGTGGGGAAAAAAAATCCCCTCTTTCTTCCTTCTCCTTCTCATCTCCTTGGTCATGGCCCCCCCGGCCCCACCCACCAGAGAAAAGCTGGAGAAGTGTGTTAGTGTGTACTAATGAATTAAACTGGCTCACAAAAGGGTCTGATGGTTGCTGAAGCCAGCACACTTATCCCCTGCTCTGGTGTAGGCTTCCCATGGGCTGCAGTCCTTCGGGAAAACCTGCTCTGGCACAGGCTGTCCATGGGCCACAGCTACTTCAGCCCGTCCCTCTGCTCTGGCATGGGGTCTTCCCTGGGCTAGAGTGTGGGTATCAGCTCCACCATGGAGCACCTCCTCCTCCTCTGAGCCTGGTGTTCCCTCTGGTCTTTATCATTCTTTTTGTTCCCTCCTCTTCTGCCTGTCTGGCATTTTTTACCCTTTCCTAAATAGGCTTTCCCTGAGGCGCTGCCATCTCGGCTGAGGGGCTCAGCTGTGCCCTGCGGTGGGTCAGTTGGAGCTGGTTGGACCCAGCTGTGTCTGGCACAGGGCAGCCCCGGCCTCTCCTCACAGGGGCCACCCCACAGGCCCTGCTGCTACTAAATCCTTGCCACATACACCCAATAAATGCACACATATGATTTTTTTTTTTAATAATGTTTTATGCAAATTTATTTCAAAATTGCATAGCTGGACAATGTATATGCATTGTAAGGGACTCTGAGAAGGATTGCGTTTGAATTAAGCTTTTGGTACTATTTAATTTTATTGCACAATGTAATGCTGTGAGTGGGTGTGTTTTTCTTTTCTGATGTAATTAGACAGGTATTCCTGTGAAAGTGACAGTAGAAAGCGCTTCTACATCTGAAACTGAAGAGACAGAAGATTTAGATGATGTTATCCATCATCCTGATTTGGCAAAATCATTAGAGAAGAGTAACGTAACAAAGTATCAACAATTACAGGTAAGAAGCATGTTCTGTGCCTTGAACTCCGCAAAGGCAAATTATATCAATTAAACCATGTTTTATTCAGAAAATTATGGTTAAGCTAATAAGCAGTCATGGAGCAGGACTTCTGAATAACTTTTAATTATCCTGCATTGTGTCACACAGGCTTCCGTTTCAAAAGATGTGTGTCAAATATTCCCTGGATTTCCAGTCTCTGAATAGTTCTAATGAAGATGCGTATTCCATAAGCATATTGTCAAATCAGGGCCATAATAAGGAAGAAATTCACTTCATACACACAGCTGCAATATGCGTAATTTCTGTGTTCCAGTCTTGAATCATGGTTCACAAATCTTTTGATCAGTGTTACTGCCTGTAGTATTTCCTTTATAGATGTAATTTAATGTTATTTCTAAGAGCTAAAATATTTTAATGATTGTTGTGTAAACATAATTAAAAAAAAAAACCTGAAAGTGTGTTAAAGCTCCATTTTATAGTTAAGCTTGGTAACAAACTTTTTTCATTTGCCTTTTATTATTCCCTCTACTTCTTTGATAGTTCTAAAAAACTAGCAGTAGCAAGACTGACTATTGCTGTAAATGTGTTGACAAGAAATGTTCTTATAAAAGGAAGGGAGAACAAAGGGTGTGTTTCAGTGGCTTAGTAGTGCTGCTGAGGTAATCTAACACTATTTTAAAGTGTTAAACACCCTCATGCAGAATAACTGGGTTGTTTCTGAAGTGTTAGGATTTGAATTTTGTTTGGGGAATCTGCTCTGCCTCCGAAAGAATACTGCTAAAAATAAGACCTATAGTCAGTCTGGTTTTGTTGGTGGTTGTCATAAAGCACCACACTGGGTGAATGAACTGTTCATATGTATAAATATTAAGACCATATAGCTGTGTTTATGTAAGCGAAGTGAAGTTGAAACTTAACTTGTTGCAGATCTATACGTACTGGGAGAGTTAGGGTGGCTTAGAGTTACTGTGGAAGGCAAAAGGACTGTACAAATACTGCATAACTAACTACCTGCCTTTTTTTTAGCTGATGCATACTTTTTCTTTAGGCTTACCCTTTTTCTCTCTAGAACTTTTGTTCAGGAAGATTTTCAAGGTTTTCACATGTTGCTGGGACTTAAAGTTGTATAGCAGCTTTCTTCATTGTAGGTGACTTCATATTACCGTTTGTGTGCAGTATGTTGACATTGTGCTGTGCAGTGGCTTCAACACTCTTACCAAGAGCATTGAGTCTGGGATCATGGAATTCCATGTCACATGCATATTGCGCCAAAAACTTCTATGCAGCAAGTACGGTGCTTTCAGGAAGCACTTGATGTATATATTCTTGGTATTTAGAGAGGGAGGAATATTACTTTAAGGACACACTGCAGAGGCAGACAGTGTTTTGTGCTTTGGGGAAGGGTTGTCATACCGACCTACCTTGTCAGTGTTACCTGTAGCATTATGTATAGAACAACTGTAAGGAAGGGATAATTTGTGAGTAATTTGAGCTTCCTGGGAGGTAAAACTACAAATTTTAGGAATCTACCCCAAAATTGGTTCTAAATTTCCTGTGCATGTAGGGTCCAGATTTTTCTGATTTTCTGAATTTGAAAACCGAAATACTTTTTTAGGCCATGGTTGCATGCATATCCGACAGCACTGTTTAAGCAGTCTCAAACTGTTTCTGTGCCTCACCCATCCTGTTTGTTATGTTGATGCAAAGCACAGTTTCACATTATGGCAGAACTGAACTAACAACTTGTCACCATTGAATTGTGAGGTCTATTTCCCCTCCCTCCCTTTCATTTTTCCATTTCTTTTTTTTCATTTCATTTTTCATTTCATTTTTCCATTTCATTTTTCCATTTTCTTTTCCATTTCTTGCTTCAGTCTTTTTCTCTCTTGTGTCTTTTTTTTCATGTTTATCTGATCATAAGGCAAGTTGATTCAACTTGCTGATTTGAAGAAAACTCATGTAGTTCAACAAGGAGAAATGCAAAGTCCTGTACCTGGGGAAGAACAGCCCCATGCACCAATATATGCTGAGGGCAGACCATCTGGAAAGCAGCATTTCAGAAAAGGCCCTGGGGGTCATGGTGGACACCAAGTTGAACACAAGCCCTTGCAGCAAAGAAGGTGAATGGCATCCTGGACGACATTAGGAATAATGTTACCAGCAGGTGGAGGGAGGTGATCCTTCCCCTGTATTCAGCGCTGGTGAGGCCACACCTGGAGTACCGTGTCCAGTTCTGGGCTCCTCAGTACAAGAGAGACATGGACATACTGGACAGAGTCCAACGAAGAGCCACAAGGATGGTTAAGGGACTGGAGCATCTCTCCTTTGAGGAAAGGCTGAGAGAGTTGGAGTCTCCCTCCTCAGAGATATTAAAAAACCATCTAGACACAGTCCTGGGCAGCTTGTTGTAGGTGGCCCTGCTTGAGCAGGGGGTTGGACCAGATGACCTCCAGAGGTCCCTTCCAACCTCAGCTATTCTGTGATTCTGTGATATTTTTCCAGGTTAGTTTTCAGCCTTCTTAATGACTCACATTGGCTTATGTGATTGGGTGCATTCCAGAACTGGAGCAGAGTAAATGGCAGAAGTCTATGGCCTACTACAGAGCTGCTTGGGTGGGGAGCTGACTTGAGGAACTGATCTAGTGGAAAAGTAATCCAGTGTATTTGGCTGTAGCAGGCCTTGGCACAGCCCTTCAGTAAAGTGGGACAACCAACTGTGCTAGAACGATGATGGGATTGCAGAATGGGAATAAACAGTAAGAGTTGGGAGCTGCTTAATCTGCCACTGTCCTGAAAAAGCTCTTCAAACATCCCTTGATGTGACTAAATGACCAGACTTTCACTTTAGTATACAAGTCCTTGAGAACTTCCCTGCATCCTTCTGCTCAAAAAGGGGCTTTAAGCGTACTGCTTAGTGAAACAATATTAGTTGTATTTTCATTTTTTAAAAAAATCCCTTGGCTAACAAAAAGCTTAATTTCTGCTTAAATGAAAGATAAGAACTTATAAATACTCTGTCCTTCCACTAGAGGTAATCTGAAATGTCAGAATTGCCTCTGATGAAGAATGTAGTTGAGGAAACTCCTGGATTTTGACATTTTAACTAAGGATATAAATGCTGAACTTCACCCTTAATATAGTTAGCAGGGTAGCTCTTTCTACACGTTAATACTATGTGAATTACGTAGAAGTAGAGATTGTACTATAACTCTTTTTTGAAAACAAGGACAACAATGTAATAAAGTAGAAAACCATGTCTAATTAGTTATTAAAGTTTTTTTATATTTTTAATTTTTAAACTTCAGTTTTATACCTCTGTCTAGTGTTGAGTAGTCATATTGCATACAGTAATTCTGAGGGCAACAGATTTTGTTGTTCAACTTCATCTTAAAGGCTGTCAGTGCTATCTTTCTGGACTACACTACTAGAAGGGTGAGTCTTGTAGCTTGGATGTACATTTAGCTCTCTGATGTATTTTAATAAATTTTTTCTGCACAAAGACTAGAGGATTGTGTAAGCTAGTGAATTTCTCAAAAGCAGTCAAAGACTAAAGCTTACATATACTTGTAATTTAATGGTGACAAATATGTTTGCACAGGTGCAAGGCATATTCTTTTAAATGTAGGCTTCTGATACTGCTTATGAGGAGATGTAGCTGCAGTGTTTGTCAATCTTTTTGTGAAGTCAGCCCTTAACCATCAAATATTGTGTACATCTACAGTGTGATAAATAAAGTTTAAACAAAACTACAAAACCTCCAAATTTCAGTTTAAAAAATCTTGATAATTTAACTGTTTTCTAAGCCTTTGCCTTTTGATAATACAAACCAGCAATAATACAAACCAGCAAACTGAAGAAAAAGGTCACTGCTATCACCTTTAGATTTGTTGAAAATCTGTCCACAACAAATGTGGACAGATTTTCAACAATTACAAAAATACTATAGAACTAAGGTTTCTAAAGTACAGTTGCTTGCCAAAAACCCCTACACCCTAGACACTTTAAGATACATATATACATACGCGCACGCACACTATAAATGGAACTGTAAGAATTCTTCAAGTCTGTGGTACCTGTGACTGATCTTCAAAGCTAGGTTACAGGATTCCAGCTTACATGTCAAGTTGTGACTGTAGAACGTTAATGTTGCTACTTTCTGTGCTGTGCTTCTGTATCTATAAAAGGATTTCTAGCTCCTATTATTTCCACACATTCTGAGGTAGATTGCAGGACGATTGTGGTATTTGTTGAGGGTTCGCCTTGGAGATTTCCCCCCCACCCCATGCCTGGAGGTGATTTTGTTACATCATGGCAGTTAGATACTGTTGAATATCTTCCCAAATACTGTCTTTGAAATGTGGTTTTCACAGACTGAGAGTCTTCCTCGTGTGTTCAGATGATAAAGATGTGACTAGCTTTCTAGTTCCAGGGTTAGCTTGGTTGATGCTAGTCTAGGAATCTTAGGTGTGGGCTTCACTGGACGGTAGTGACAGACCTATAATCTTCACTCTGAGTGGTTGTCACTGGGAGTGCTATATCTAGAATATTTTAGAACCTGCATCTTTGAATCAGATGCAAAAGTCCCTCGCATCCTACAAGACCTGTGAGGACCTCTGTGCATTTGCAGAAGGATATTTTTACTATGCATTCTGTTGCACACCAGTCTTCTCAGTTGATTGCTTGTATGAAGTACAATAGTATGCTCTTGAATAAGCTTTTGATAGTAAACAAAGGATTTCAGTACTATTTGGATCTTTGCTTCTCTGTAGAACTGATTGATAGGGTGTGTACAAAAAGCAGCGTCCTATGGTACATGAAGAAGCTTTGTATACTGTTAATTCATATAGGCTACCCTCTGAAAAACAGAGCAGCTTGATAATTTTAGCAGTTTTCACCTTTGGAAGCAGAAGACTGTGTTAAGGCATGCAAGAACAAAAATTCCTGTTTGTTCTTCCACTTCAGATGCTGTAATTAAAGATGGTAATGCTCTGCTATGATACGAGAAAACATGGTGATTGCTTATCAAATCCTGACTACTGTTCACTGAAACTGAGAGATTGACTACTTAGGACTAAAAGTTAAAATAGAAGTGTAGGCATCTCATGAATAAGACTAGAATGTATTTGTCAGATGTTTGGGCTTGTTTTTGTTGTTCTTAATTCAACACTAAGCTTCTTAACTCACTCCAACAGCTTGGGATTGTGAAAGACTTTTTCTGCTGAAGAACTAAGTGAAACCAATTGGAAGGAGTACAGTTCTTACAGTTCAGAATTTTGTATTCCTACTGCTGTAATAAGGAGTAAAAGCCTGGATGAAGAATATATTCTGAAAATCTAGATATGGCTACTAAGGATTTTTTTTAGAGCCCAATTTGAGCTTTTGATGAGGTAGATGTATTTAGTTAAAAATTAGGTTTGAAAAGGTGAAGGAGAAGAAGAGGAAATAGAGAAGAACATACGCTCCTGATGGTAATGTCATAGGCCCAAGAGACTTGTGCTATAATCTCATGTTATCTATTGCTATATTGCAAATCTGTTAAGTGAATCACACTTACTTCATTTTCCTGTGTTAATTTTTTGCATCCTAGAGTTATGTACTGGTAGACCTCTGTCATGTATTTTTGTAGAACATATGCTATTGCTTGGAATGCCATGTGCTAGTTGTTAATTGGACATGTTGAGTTTTTGTATAATACTGCATGTTGAGCTGACATTTTGAGATAGATTTCATGATAGTTTTCTGTGTTATGATAGTTGGAGCTGGAAGAATGCATGGAAAAATTAAAGGAAGAACAAAGAGCCAGAGTAAAGGCTGAGGAACGGATAACGGAGGTAATGATACTTAACTGTTAATCATCTTTACTTTTAAAGGAAGCACCAATCAAACTATCCACTTGCTTAATTAGGAGTAATTATCAATGACCTCTAATCTGGTAGCTTCCAGAGTTTCAGTTCAAAGTCACATGGATCATTTACTAGCCTAAGGGCAATGATGAAATCTGCGTTTAGTAATGTGTGTTTGTTCTCCTGATCCTATTCCAGAGCCTTGAACTCCAGGTCAAGCTACTCTTTCAATGTGTTTCATTCATTTGGTGTATTACTTATGATCTGGGGCATCCTGATGTTTGTTTTTCTCGAGGAAGTGATTAAATCTGTTTGCAGTTTGCAGCAGATGGATAGTTCTTTGAGGTCTCCCACCTTCTTTACCATGACTTGCGCTGAAAAGCTATTTGTTGCAAATGTTACTTAATTTGGCTTATTCTGTCCCTTTGATTTTTAAGTTTTGTTTCTGCAGGCAATAAAAATGTCAGATGGTTTTCTGCATAGCATGTCGGCCATAGCCATCACTTGTTGCGAAAGTGCAGTTTCGCATTATGACAGAACCGAACTAACAACTTGTCACAGTTAAATTGTGAGGTCTATTTCCCCTCTGTCCATTGTTGCTGACCTAAAAAGATCCTTTTGCATCAATAACCAGAATTTCTTGTAATAGAGTTGAGTGCAAGATAGTATAAACGAATGGATTTGGTTCTAGATGTGATCTGGAGTAGAATGAAAGTGGTGGTACCCTTTGGAACTTGAGCAAGAAGTGGCACCCCACAGCACAGGGGGCAGATATCCACAAAGGACTCTGCACTCTACAAGGTTCATTGTAGTCTTCTGGTGTGGCCATTCCCATCCTCCTGTAATGTGAAGTGCACCAGTAGGCTCTGCTGGATATCTGTTGTTTGAATTCTTAAATGCTTTGTAGGCTGAATACCTACTGCAACAAATCTTTCTCTGTCATGCTAGACTGCTTGGACCTAGCACCTTGTCTCAGGAGGATAAACTAAGTAGCAGTAATCTCTAAAATTGTTCATTTTGATGCTAGTTTAACAGCTACAGTGCACTACACAGATCTATAATTTTTTGTCCTTCTCTCATAAAAGATGAAAGAAGGAAAGCCTGAGGTAGCAGTGATTGCATAGCTGTAATCTTAAATCAGTATCTGAGTTAATGTTTCCCTCAAACACAAAACCTTGTATATCCTACAGTTATCATTCAACTTTCAGTTTGTCATTGATTTGATTAATGTTCAATGTGAAGAGAAATGGGATCATCTTAAACTTCCAATTTTGGGATGCACAGTGCGGGGGAGAGATACAGTAGTATGCATTCCCTCTGATACAGAGGGGTGAATGTAAGGAGAGCATTGGCCTTCATTAAGGTTTTTATTAATAAAATAAATTATTTGGTGTTAATGTGTCATGTAATACATGCAAAATAACATGATATGAAAGCTAATTTTTTTGCTTGCACTTGCTCTGCAACATTCTATGCATACTGAAGACAGTGCTGAGCCAGCACTTTTGTGTGCCTGCAGCAATTTCACTATGGTAGCATAGAATTGCAGCTGTGGATAAACAAACCTGCACAGAGCTCAGTGTAGCAGTGCCCTGAATATTTCTGGTACAGGCAGCTCTATATCATTTATGTCACTTACTTTGGGTATTTCTCTTTGTGATACTACTCTATAGGCTTGCAAAAGTGGGGTTGGGTTTTTTGGTTTTCTTTTTTTTTTTTAACTGACAATGATAGAAAATACTTTACTTTTTTTTTTTTTCCCCCCATAGCTGGAAACTGAAAATGCAAGATTAAGGAATCTAAATATCTCCCTATCTGAGGTTCTTCATGCACAGTCAGTAACCAACATGATTTTGGATGATGAAGGTGTTCTAGGCAGCATTGAGAACTCTTTCCAAAAGTTTCATGCTTTTTTAGACCTCCTTAAAGATGCTGGGTAGGTTGTCACTTTACTTAAGTCATACTGTTTCTGCTGAGATCTCTTTCCAAAATTATCCTCCCAATGAATTATGCTGCCTCTTCCCCCCAGATCTCTAGGACTGTACTCACAAAGAGCAAAGGAAGAAATAACTGTAGGTACCTACTGTTTAGTCTTTTCTCAGTGGGGAAAAACGTGATCCAAGCACTGTCCAGCTGAATTCATGTCTCTGTCCTTGGGAAAGGCTCCCAAGAAGCCCATTCCAAAAGAGAAGAAAGCTTCTATCAAAGCGTATTTCCAAGTCTTTATTGGATCACCTGAGGCTCTTAGCATTCCCATAATACGAAAGGCTCAAAATGCAGTTGAACTGGCTTCAGAAAGTGTCCTGTTGCCTTGGGCCCCCTTTTACTAATTGAAGTACAGAAATCTAGCTGGATGAATCTGGCCTCTGTACTTAAATTCTGGATTATTTATTATTACTTGAAATATTTTACGGAGTATTGATTAAAGGCTCTACCACTGTACCTGCAGTTTCTCAGAGGATGGTTCATCCTTCCCATTTGTCAAAGAATTTCAGCTTAAGTTCTCAAACCTGTTTTGTAAAGCTTACGTAGCCAGGCGTGGCAATCTTGTTCAGGAGATTGAAGGAATGATATGAAGATATACTGTAGTCTACTCTGCATATTCAGGGAAGACCACAGAAGACTTTATTTGCCCTCCCTGCCTCCTGCTTCCATCCACCTCCAAATTGCAATAATGTAACTTAATGTAAAGTTCACCCTGAGGCTGTGTTCTAATTTTGCGCCAATCAATTGGTAGAGTTGCCATTACTTTAAGAATGAATTTCAAACTTCGGAGGAAGGAAAAAATGCTCTCTCACTACATAAAAAAATATTTTTTTCAGATGGGTCCTACATCTATTCGTGATAATAGGGAGCTGCTCTGAAAGCTACAGAATCCCAAACACAAAGACTGATCTTCTCGATAAGCTTCTGTTTAATGCTGTGCTATCAACTGATGGCTGCAACTTCTCACTTCTTATTGAGGCTTAAAACACCCACGTAGTAGGTTTGGCCAACTTGTAAGCTGGCAGGTGAAACAACATGACTGTATTTGTGAAGCATGTAATTGGATTTGGCTGTTGGAGATTATGCTAGGTCAGGAGATGTGTACCAATCTTCTGCTTGAATGATAGAGTTTTAATCTTTGTTCTGCCTGACAGGGAATCTGCTTGCCAGCATCCTGCTCTGGGATCAATGCTAACTGGGAGAACTTCATTCTTAGCCTCATAACACTGAGTGACCACTGACAGTTTTGAACCTGCAGGCTAATTTGTGCAAAGATAGGAAAATAGCTTTAGCTACTTGTTTTCATCTTTATTAAGCTATTTTGGGCTTCTCAGAAAATAATGGAAAAACTATCTTCAAAGCTTCAAACAGATTCTGTTTCTTCTTCTGGTTTTGAATGTTTAGAACTTTTTATGTCATTTTCTATTAAACTTTATTTTACAGACTTGGACAACTTGCTGTATTAGCTGGGATAGACCAGTCAGATTTTGGTCTTTTGGGGCATCCACAAATGAATTCTACTCTCAGTAAGCCTGCTAACATACTAAAGGAGAAGTCTTTTGAAGAAGAAAGACAAGAACATACCCAGAATAGCAAAGTAAGTCTATAGAGGGAATGCTAGTGGCAATGTACTTGACGCTATTTAATGTACTTTTCAGCTGTTATCCCCCTCTGACTGAAAGTAATGATTACCAAATGATCCATGAAGTTACTGCAATCTTTTGCTGTAGCTGTATTTATACAGATTATAATAATTCAATGATTAATGTAAGCTTTTTAAGTGATTACCATTTGGAACAGAAACCATGGTATTTTGTAATGTTCTAAAGAAAGTGCTGGTGGTAATTATGTTGTTTCTTATTCTGAAATATGAAGTTCCAATAGTGGTATGCATCCATTAAAAATGGAAAATACCATAACTACGTTTTTTTAGAAACATTTAATAATGATGTATAGTGGTTTTAAAAAACTTAGCCTGGTAATAGAGGGTAGTGCAATATGCCTATTGAAAAGCAGGAATTTTCTTAAGTTATTGCAGTGTATGTGTCCTGTCCTGTTAGATTTCTGTGTGGGCCATGCCATGAATTTCAGGCAACTACAAAGCTGCAATATTAACAACATAAGGTTTTAGTTTCTACTCTGAAGTCAATAAATAGAAAACCTTCTGGATTATTCAAGGGAGGTACTAAAGTTCCCTCAAAAAAAAAAAAAGAAAAAGACCAGGCTTAAGTTTTTAAGGCAATTAAAAATTAAGATACTGGCAGCCTACAACCTTGTCCAAGTTGGATAAAACTGTCATGCTAAGACTCATTCTGCATTCCAATATGTTTCTTACACCCAATGTCTTCCCTATTAAGTGTTCCAAATTGCTCAAGAACACCATGAGCTTCTAAAACATGATAGTAAAAAGTGTTGGGGTTTTTTAATGGTGTGCAAAGTGATTTCCAGTTTTGCAGTCTGAATCTGCTAAAATTATTCGGAGTAATAGAGTAATTCCCATTATAGGTTCTTTGACATTTGTTATAGTTTGGCTTGCCACAGTGTTTTCAGCTGATGGACTCTTCTGCACTGTGACATTAACTTGTTAATGCAGTTTGTTTGAATCATTGTTTTTCTAATTCATCTACATTTAGAAGCCTGAGCTTAAAGTGTTTTTTAAGTATACATGGCAAAGGATGATTACAAAAAGCTTCAGCTAACACTTACACTACTCTCATACTTATCTCCTAGTATTGGTTAGTTTGGATTCTTGTAGCAGTTAGGTATTGTGGGATAGACTATTGGGATCACTCTACTGTGAACAAATGTAATGAATTGCAGGTATTTCAGGGTGATAAGACATGATTAGGCTTTGGCTGCTTCAGTGCAACTGACGCATTTCTGTAGTATAAAGTTCAAGCTAGCTGTGAAACTGTAATATGCCTACTCTGTGTCATTATCACCCCAGCAATCTTCTGAAACTTGCTTGCTTTGAAAGGTAATAAAAGTTGTGTGATTGCTATTATCTCTGAATCTTTTCTACATTATGTGAAGACTTTATTTTGCTATGCAGATTTTAGTATGTGGCAGTTGCAATACTGGATTTTTTTTTCTCTAGTTGCATCAGTATCTTCATTGGAATCTCTTATTTCAGAACAGAGCTGGGGACATCCAGATTTCTCTTCCTGGCACATTTCAATCCCAGATGGTTGTGAGTAACACCTTCTCTGCTCTTAGAGAAATACAAGAACTTCAGACTGCTGGGCAACAGTACCAGCCAGGCTCATGGAAGGAAAATGAAGCTCAAACAATTAATCAAAATAAAGAGGATAAGCCTCGAAATAGTACTCCAACATTCTCTGAGAGGAGAGTCAAACAAAATGAACACGGAAAAGGACATCACTCAGCAAGGCAATTGGTTACCAGTCTGCATTCACTTTCTGATTCCAGTGTACATACTAAAAGTAATGGTAGCAGAATATCCAGTGGTGCTTCTGCTGAAAAAAGCAAAAATTGTTCCTCAAAGAAATACATCCCTAGAGCAAATGAAACGGCAATTCCGAATGATGGTGGAGCAAGAGGAGACCAAAGTAGACTGCAGACAGTAAACCGCTCTGGAACTGATACTGTAGGATCTGGCTCTGAAATACAAGAAAGTATCCAAAGCGTTACCAGCATTTGAAATGGTTCTATAATGTTTGAACTGTTCTTTACGCTTGCAAGATTAAAAATAAATTTTGAATGCCTCAGTATAGCTTGTGAATTTTTTGTAAAGTAATGTAGACTTTGTAAACTTTTAAAGCATCGCATGCTGTTTAGTATTCCTGTTTCATGTTTGCATCACTTGTCACTAGTTTTTTAGTTTTGGAAACGTGATGCACTGGTAGAATGGTACCCTTCAGTTTGTACTACATACAAAGGATTCCTGGCATATGGATTTTATTGTGTATCACTGACCTCGTTATAGAGAGTAGACTGGTTTGAGCTAATAAAATTAATTTGAGTACAAATTTTGCTTTTCATTTATTTTCAGTGTATTGCAATGGAAGTCGAAAAAATGGTTTTAGGGCAAACATCAATTCATCCCTAACAGTGTGTGGGTATGACATTCCCCCAAAGGTAGTGGAAGTTTCAGATTTGAAAATGAGTCCAGAAACATCGCTAAAAGAAATATTTAAATACAGCTATTATTCCTTATTGCTATGACTGCAGATCATAGAATAATACACGTTGGAAGGGACCTCTAGGGGATGTCTAGTCCAACTCAATTAGGTTGCTCTCAGGACCTAGAGAAATGTGAGAACATAAAACTAAAATAATATCTTTGTTTTAAAACTCCTGGGGTTTGCCCCCCAGCTTCTTGTTCCTGTCCTTTTGCACAGGCAGCTGATTTGCAGCTTCTCAACTATGGCACAGACTAACATAGACTTTGATTTGCCTAATGTGGCACAGAAAATCATACTGTTTCGCACCGGGACTAGTAAGAAGATGCACTTCAGTATGGCCCTGAAAAATAAAGCAGTGTCTTTCTTTATATTTGTACGCTTGCCTGAGTGCCATGAGAAGGCAATCAGACAAGAGCCTAATATAATTATTAGTTTCCTTCACTAACTACTGTTTTGTATATAAATGGGAGTTCTGTAAAATTAAACTTCTTAGCAAGGGTTGTAGAGATGAGAAAGGTGTTAAACATTTCTGCAAATTTTAGGAAAAGTGTTTTTAAGCAACACAAAACTTTCATTTGGAAGAATGAAACAACCTAAACAGTTTTAGTTTAGGGTTTAAGCCTAGGTCATTTGATTCAACAGTGGGAGTGAATTTTCCTTTTGAACAAACCAGTCAATTTTATTTCATTAAAATAACTTCTTTCTATGACTTTTTTGCACATGCACGTGCTTGTGTCAGTCCTGATTTAAAAGACACTTCTGAAATTGCAGTAGCGAACTCTGGGAGATTGGGTAGTAGAATCTGACATACAATGCTTTACAAGAAGTTCAAATGTTGAAAACTCATCACGTTGTGCAGTGGTCATGAAAAGCTGCCTTTTTAAAAAACATCAAATTTAAATGTTTCGCCTTCATTTTGCTATTCACAGCGTTAGCTGAGATTTTGAATGATCATAATATTTTAACCTGTTTGATATGGACTTTTTTCTTCTTGGCAACGTGTATTCCATTTGCAGAGTGAAGGGGACAGAGGGTGATGGAGCAACGGAAGATATTTTTCATGTACAGAAATTAAGCAAGATGATTTGGGCTGGACTGGGGGGAAAAAAAATACTGTGTAGCTTTCTTTTTACTCTGTCATCTGTCGTGAGAGTTCTGGAACACGGAAGACCTGTAGAAATTCCTGACTCCAATTGCTTGACAATTGTGAAGAAACTCATGAATCCTCAAATGGAAATTTTCTACTGAGCAAATAGCATGAGATTACCTTAGCTGTTGCAATATTGCACAAGTAATTGCACAATGAAAGGACATTATTTATACAGACTTTGTCACTTCAGAATAATAGCGGGTAATATATCAATCTATGCATTTTTTTTAGATATTCTCCCAAACATTTGAGATCTGTTGCTTCAGTCATGATTCTTTGCTTGTGATTTTGATTTGATTGAACAATCACATGCAATCAGTTTCTTCAGCATTAAAATGCTACGTGTTCCCTTTTTAAAACTAAAACTGTAAAGCTAATCACTGTGAAATGGTGGATAAAATTACCAGATCAAAAGCGTTCGGATTTGTGAGGTTAGGAAATATGAATCTGTTACCTGTCCTTAAAAATACCATAAAGAACTTAAAACAGTTTATGTATTGTATGCCTATAAGCAGGTGGCATAAATACCTTTTAGGTTAAATACTACTAGTATTTGCTTTTAAAGTATGAATTTTGTAAAAAATCATCATTTAACGCAAAATTGAGCAGGCAGTATATAACTTAGATGGGCATATTTTTTTCAGTGGGATTAGTACTTAACCATTTTTTTTTTTGAGTCAAAAACGTGAAGGGTTTTCCATCTCGTCACTGGTGCTGTTGTGTTAGCACTCTTACTAGGAGAATCTGGAGTGCATACTTTAAATGTAGTTGAATGCTGGATCTGAAGTCAGTAGAGATAATGGATGCAAGTTACCTGGGGGAGAAGTATTTTTTAAGGCTATTGTGAATATTTCAGAAGTTTCAAGGTTTTTGCTAACGATTTAAAAATGCATTTCCAATAATTACTTTGTATATTTAAATAAAAATTATTTTGTATATATAAATATATTTAAGAACAAAGTATTTCAATAAAAAGTAAAAAAAAAAAAAAATTGTGTGTATATATACACATACATTTCAAATGGTTATGAAACCATTTTACCCTGAGTTTGGATATAAACTGTTTCAACCTCTTGCTATTAGTTAATGTTTTACATATTTGTCTGTGTTCTTGTTTGACATAAAAGCCTGAAATCAATAGGCCAGCTATTTGCTAGAGAACATGTTACTGTTTACTTACAAAACTCAAGCTTTTTTTTCTCTCTTCATTTGGGCTTCCCGAGAATGACTTTTCACGCTTCATAACTGCGGTAGTTGGAGCGAGATCTCTGAAAGGCACAATAACCCCAAACCCTTGTCTGGACTACCTGCACCTTGTTTTAAGTCCCACTAAAATTTGCTAGTCTCGCTAATTTGCTGGACCAGACATCCCATCTGCCTGCTGAAACAGCTGCCAGGTTGCTATGTAGTCAGCATTATTTGTCTTTTAATAATGACGTCAGTTTGTCTGTTATTGTACCAGACAGAACTCGTGTGCACTTGCTCTCCTTGAGTGAGCTGATTATTTTCCAGCAGTAGTCGAAGGTTTTTCTGTCCAGCACAACATGAAGTCATGATGAACTGTACAAAACTTCAATGAAAACTCTGAAACTTTATTTAAATATTACACTTTCTCTGATTTTTTTTTGGTTTGGTTTGGTTTTCCAGTTACGCCTCATAGTAAATACAGAAGCATTCCTGGAAGTCATGGTTTTGAAAGCTTGCATTTTATATTGGGTGGCTACAAATACTGATATAACAAATTTATGGTTTTTGATGTAATAAAAATATTAAATCATAACTGCTGGTAGCGAAACATTAAAATAGGAGAAATCTCAATTCAATAGAAACGAAACTCTGACATGACCTCTACTATTCCTCTTCATTCTCTCTAATTGTAAAAGCATAACAAACCCTTGCATGTAGCAAAAATGGACTATTCTGTGTCCAGGAAACTTTCTGGTTTATACATCCTTACCAATTTTATTTACTCCCCATCAATGCACAATGTGAAATAGATTTTCTAAAGCTCTGGGTGGCAAGGCTTCCAGCGCAGTTGTCCTCTGATCTCACCGGAGATGCTATTTTTGACCCTTCTGGTCAGGACGGGACTTTCCTGAACTGAAAAGCTACAATACCTGGTATTTACTCCCTGTGCTCTGAGCCGATACCAGCACCAGGTTGCCTAGTTTCTATTTTTGTGTTCTAGCCCTTTGTGCCAGAGGTTTGAATCACACTTTTAATTCCAAAGTTTTGATTTACCTTGTGGTTTGTGCCACGCAGTCAGGATTCAAGACTGATGCTGCTCGGATGTCGAAGCACTTCCCTCGGCAGTGGCCAGGCCTCCTGACCTGAACCGCCAGCCTAAACTGTTTCTGACTGCTTCCACTACTGTGGGGATGGGAATCTCACTAGCGGACATTCCTGAGTTTGATTTTAATGAGCAAACACTGTACCACCTGGCATGACAAGGCACTTAAGCAGAAAACAACGGAGAAAGGAATGTGCAGCTGGAAGGAGAAAAACAAGATAAAGACCATGAAGGCATTTCGCATGATCAGGAAGAACGGGCCAATCTGCTAGAGCATAGATGCGCGTGAACACAAGGCTATAACCTATCTGCAAGCTGCAGGTAGCGCGTGTACACTTCTGCTTGCTATAAAAGATGCTAACAAAAAGCAATAAAGGTCTTTGGTTGCCGTGTCTGCCGGAGTCCGTGCCGCTTTTCACCCCCACACACTACCCCTTCCTACTGAGGATACCTTTACCCTAACAGGTCGGCGTTCGAAGCTGCCTCTCCGGGCAGACGTAGGTAGTCTGGGTTTAATACTGGGAAAAGCCCGTATGAGGAGCCCGTATCTCTTAAGCCTGTTTCTATTTGAGACTCTAGTAAAATAATTCTATTGTAGTCACATCTATGCTGTTACTGAGCATTTCAGCTGAGGCGTCTATTTAATTAGAACTAATTTTAATAATTAGAAGTAATGTAGTTGTTCTGGGTGTTGTGGTCTGAGACATACTTTAAAAATACCTTGGTGTTTTGAAAAGAACGTACCCAGCTTATAACGCCCGTGAAGTTTGCTGTTATCTCTTCAGAACTAAGGAGGGTTCTGGTGTCTGAAAGCGAGTTTGGTGGGTTTTTAAGCTATAGCCATTATTGAAATGAAGGTTATCTTCGCTCTGAAACCACCGTCTCCGTTTACAATCTTCTAAACAAAATTAACTTGCATAAGGTGAAAATCTATTAACTAAATACCAGATCAGGCTGTAATCTCTAAATTCTTTTCATCATTCTAGGTATGACCTGGCTTGACAGGAAAAGGAACGAGTTCAAGTAGTCAGTATTTCTTCAGTGAAATAATTTGTAATGAAAAATGTCCTTTTATG